GAATATGATCGCAAAATAGAGGATAAATTAATAAAACAATTGTCGATACAGTTTCCATCGCACAAGTAAGTTATTATTTTCTAAATTCTTTGAAGTAGAATCTCTCTCTAAAAAGTGAAAATTGAGCCAGTCTTGAAAAAAGTGGCTCAATTTTCAATCTTAAGAGTGAGATTTCACTTTTTAGAGTGACAATTCACTCTAAACGTTTTAGAGAGTGTGATTAATGGTCAACTGCTAACAACAAGTCAGTAACGAGATGATTGTCACGAGATTTAATCTTTCAGATTTATTGGAGAAGAAACAGCAGCAAAGGAAGGCTGTCTACCGCAACTAACCAATGACCCTACGTGGATAATAGACCCGATAGACGGTACTACCAACTTTGTACACCGTTTTCCACATACATGCATCTCTTTAGCGCTACTAGTAAACAAAAAGGTGGAAATTGGGATAATATACAATCCTCTTATGAGACAGTTCTTTTCGGCGAGGAGACATTGCGGTGCCTTCCTTAATGGGAAGCCCATAAAAACTTCTGACATGAAAGGTAAGTAGTTCTATACACTTAAAATATATTCATATTCGAAGCATGCATACAATAGCATATATCATAAAGCATGTAATACCATAGACGTACATAAATCTAATTTATTATACGTGTTTCTATATCATGGTGGCCTTGCTGAAAATGAGTGTAAGAAATTCATCATTTAACGGTCCAGTGGAAGGTTATCTATTAAAATCGCAGAATGAATGGTTTTAATAGACATCAGAGTTAATGTTGTGTCCTTCATAAAGCAATTACTTTATAACGTGACATAGCTACAATCTGTCTGTTTGCTTTGTCCATTCAAATAATTACTTCACTTTCACATGTAAGAAATACTTAAAAAAATATATAATTATATATAATATGTCTATTCTTTCCAGACATATCTCAATCATTAGTGGCTATGGAACCATGGCTCGCAAAGGATCCTCAGTATTTAGCTAGTGTATATAGTAGAATGCACGCTTTAGTACAAGGAACTCATGGGTAATATATTTTTTGAAGCTATTTTAAACGTATATTAATGTATATATATTAATTAGCTCAAAAACTATTAATAATAAATTGTTTCTCTTTCAGAATAAGGTCATTAGGAACAGCAGCGCTCACATTGTGCTACGTAGCAATGGGAGCTGTGGAGGCATATCATATTGAAGGTATCGATGCTTGGGATGTTGCAGCAGGGAAATTAATAATCGAAGAAGCAGGTGGAGTTGTGATAGATACCGATGGTAAATATAACTCTTTTGTCATTAGCTGCACTTAATTTCACATTATTACAAATTTATTTTTCCAATTAATCCAACTTCGAAACTCTCAGTAAATCTTCTGTTAATATAAAAAATTATCATTTACAGGGGGAGAACTAGATCTAATGACTCCGAGGGTTATAGCGGCATGCAATCAGCAAATTGCACAACAGCTTGTGGATCTTATTAAGAAAGCCGATTGTGAGATCCTTAACAAAAACTTAAATTAATTATGCTGATACTATATGCAGCGCTCATTAAACGTATATATTATATAACGTCATATTATATAACAACGCATATATATGCAGACTTAAAAACACAGTATTACTAAACGTGACTTAAGGCTGCATTAGATTTACAAAGTTTTCCAGTCTCTCGCAATCTATTAAATGTCAACATAAACACTCTTCGGTTTGGCACTCTTCTGTTTGGAAATCGTCGTGCATATTCTCGCACCGCCTTTAAAGCATTACCGTTGCAGAAACCGTATACAAAAACCATATCAGCATATTCACTATTAGAATACGTACGCGGCATATTGCAAAAGACAAAATTCATCTACTGTTAAAGGCTTTCAAAGAGCGACTGACAAATTCATAACAGAAAGTGGAAAATGTAATCAAATATGTCGGTGCTAGATATGGCAAGAAATGTAAACATTTTTTTTCGATTTCTCTGAAACGGAGCAAAAACGAGCATATGTCTATAGGACTTTTTTTCTTAGTTTTTTACTCCTCTACACGCTCCCGAAGTTTTGCGATTTAATTTGGAAACACCCTGTATAACAACGCATATATATGCAGACTTAAAAACACAGTATTACTAAACGTGACTTAAGGCTGCATTAGATTTACAAAGTTTTTAGGACTGATATAGCTCGTACTTTTCTCTGCACTGATAGTTACTGTATATTTCAGTAATTAAAATTAATAAGTGTTCACAATATTAGTAATAAATACATATTGTATTTGTAAATAAACTTTAAATTTTTAACCCAATCAATACCATAATAAGATTTCTCTCCTATCTCATAACCTGTGCCCATACATGCACAACTATTACAAATAAATAATAATAGTGAATTCAGTCACTTGTACAACAATTAATTTAAAAATAGATTAGTGTACATTAAAAAAAAATTGCTTTGTACAAAGCATCTAAATACGGTGGCATAATATAATGAATTTTAACAATGAAATAATACATATACATTCTGTTAAATAACATGATAACATGATAAAATCATTGAATATTTAAATGTTTAAACTTGCGTTGACTACATAGAATTTTGCATCTTCCGTCAGCAGACTTGGATCTTTAAATTTCAGTATAGATTTTTATATTGTTCCAGACTGTATAAAAATCTAAAAAAAATTCTTGTATACTTGTGAAAACTTTAACGAGCTTTTATTATGATAGAATTTCACTTGTATTCTACTTACTTTTTACATATTTAAAAATTTATCTACTAAACTTCACAATCAAAATATCGACTGTACCTTCAAAGTCCTATCTGACCAGTGAAGAGTTAAAATACTTATATGCTTTTATATTTAACTTTTCTAATTTCCTATATAGTAGCTTTTAATACACATTAATTTAGTGTAATGCAAGTCATCAAATTCTGCTATAACTAAGACACGATTTTTCATTTTCTGATTAAATTATGGTTAAGCTCAACCTGATGTTTTATCCAATGGGTTTCATCTATGATGATGTCACGATTGAAGCTCATTAAGTAAAACATGAAGTAAAGTTTAACCACAAATTTTAACCAGATAATAAAAAATTGGGCTCAAGAAAAGAGCATAGATATAGTTATCATGGTAATCATACCTGTGGACCCATATTAGGTGGCATCTGCTGTAGGTGGGGCGGATAACTCTGTTGTTGGGGTGGCGGTTGTTGTGACGGTTGCGACATAGGTGGTCCACCTGGTGGTATTGGTGGACCACCTTGATAACCCTGCGTCGGACTATGAGGATGATGCTGCGGCGGTCCCATTGGACTGCCTTGTGCATTAGATGGGGATGGTGCCTGTTGTGGAGGTCCCATGGGACTAGGTGCTTGTGGTGGTGGCATGGGTGAAGATTGCGGCGAAGGACTCGCCATATTATTATGTTCAAAAGATTCCAGTTTATCTGAGACTTACTTCCTGGAAATATTACAACAAAATGCAAACGTAAGAACCAGTTATAAATTCTTTCAGAACTATTTACGAGAAGTATTAAAAACCTGATCACTCTATCATTATACTTTTATAACAAATTCGATGTCACTTGTATCATACTATTCTCTAAAACTATTAAAGTAAATCTCGTTTTTAAAGATTAAAAATTGAGCCACTCTTTGTCAGGACTGACTCACTCTTAATGAGATTCTACTTCAAAGAATTTAGAAAGAATAGATTAGTGCGTAACTAATAGCTGCTATACACTAAAATTAGCAAAGTTAAATATAAATGCATACACATATTGTAAACAATTAAATACCCAAGAATGATACCGTTACATTATTTAACAGATATTATATTATTCATTGTCAAAGTTGATTATATTATGCCACTGCATTTAGATACATAAAGCAGCCTTTAATGTGCAGTAATCCATTCCACTGTAACGCAAGTAATCGAATTCACCATTAATTAAGGGCACAAAGTACAACTGTACAATTTAAATATTTCAAATAGACGCAATTAAATGAGATAATCTCCCATTTAAAAAATACCAGCTCGTTCAAGAGAGT